TGAGTCCCACTAAAATATGAACATGTGGCACGTAGAATGCAAAACAGGTTTTCAAATGCCCTGAACTTACATATCGCGAAACTCGTTGTTGCGTTTTTATTAGCTTTTCTGCAAAATCACCTTCCTTAGTATGACGCTATGCTCTTAAAGTTGACAGGCAGCTGCTAACTGGTTTCTGACTAGATTTTAATCCGTATAAGTCAGTTATTTGTCCAAACCTTTGCTGACTGACTTTTCACTAAGCACTCTGCTGCATGTTCATGTTGTACCCGCTAGCTGGCAAACTTTGGAGACAGGTAGGGGCGTGCAGAAAATTTGTCAAGGTGATTATGCTATTACCCCCCCCCCCTGTCACGCCTGCTTCACGGTCGGGTTGGACCCTCCTCCCCCGTCACAGTGACGACGAATTTCCCTTGAAATTCACGTTTATGCGTGCCGTAAAATCGGATTCCCAAACAATGGCCGCTGGACCAGAACCGGAAGTTGCATTGGCTTGTGACGCAGAGGATGGCCAGCATTCGCACAGAAGCGCACGTCGCGATTCCCGCTGGACGTTAAGTTTCGATACGTGGGAAGTATTTCCTCTAGCCCGCCAAAATGATCAGTGTGCAATCAACAAAACTCCGGCATGCGCAAGAGCGCTCGCTATTCCGCCGCACACCACCGATGATGTGCTTCCATTGCATTGTTTCCTTTTGCTTTTTCTCGTCTACGATTGTTTTTTTTGCGTTTAGCGTATCGGAATTCACACTTTATTTGATCATGTAAGAGCGCGTCGCACAATAGTTGGACCCATAGCTCCCACGACTCGCTGATTTTTGGCGTGGCGAAAATATGCTACAAAGTGCGCGAAATGGGTGAAGCATCAGGTTTTTGAAAACATTCTTGATCGCGTTCTTGATTACTGGTGGCGAAAAACCTGCGGGCCTACGGAAGCGTCAAGAGGCAACGTGATCAGAGGCAGTTCCAAGCTTTGCCGCACTTCAGTTGGGCGCCAATAAGACATACTAACAAGCGCACTGTTTTGTAACACCATCTTAAAGGTTTAGTGCCGGGAATTCGTTACCGAGTTCGTTTCGAAGTTGAAGGACAAAAGGCCTGTATCCGATTCCATACTAGCGCGGGTCAAATCTCGACGCCACCATTACGAGTCACTTTAGCTGAGAACGGCACGAGAAATCGTCCGCTCCGTCAACGTGCACAGCTTTCTCGAAGCGACGGAGGACCATCGACAAGAACATCGATGGAACACGAATCGTGCACAAACAACTGGATACTCCGAAGAATCCGAACCGAATCGAAGGATCCGAAGACCGACACCGAGCAGGATCGCCATTTTTTCTGACGCTGGCCCAGGCAACTCGGCTTACTGGCGCCAGCTACTAATCGTCGCCGGAGACGTCCACCCAAACCCAGGACCACCAAGATGGCCGTGCGGGATCTGTCGCAAAAACGTGCCCGACAACGCCGTCAGCTGCGCCGCCTGCAAGAAGTGGTTCCATCTCAAGTGCTCACCGTTCGGGCAACTACCGCCTCACAACCACGGATGGCGATGTCACAGATGCTCAACACCAGCGAGACCAGCACCACGACCGGCGCACAGAGCTCATGCAGTACAAGCCCAGCCAAGCACCTTCGAGCTACCACCGGAATACGTACGCGAAGCCGACGCCGACCCCGTCAATGCGCAGAGCTGCCGACTCGCCTCTGGAGCCGGAAGCTCCAGAGATGCCACCGCTGTGCTACCTGGTGTGGGTACCCTCCTACGACCCGACGGCCATCAGCGGCCGAACCAACCAGCTGGTAGCGGGGGAGGGCCCCAGGACACGGCGGGCGGGCCGAGCCGTGCACCGCGCAAGAAGCCTTCTCTCCGGATACTGCAGTGGAATGCAGGTGGCCTACAGTCGAAGCACCCGGAGCTGCTCAAGTACCTCACACACCACGGAGTCGACATCGCCCTGCTCCAGGAAACTCACCTAAAGCCGACGAAGACGGTGCGCTTCCCAGGCTACAACGTCGTTCGCAAAGACCGCGACACGGGCAGAGCAGCTGGAGGCGAGACAAAAGGCGGAGGAGTCCTAACGCTCATCCGCGAAGGGCTCGAGTACGAAGTGGTCAACGCAAATCCCAAGCGAATGACCAAACGACCGATGCCCTGCACACGGTCATCCACGTTAGCCGCAAGGAGCACGTGAACATCGTCAACGCCTACGTTCCCCCAATCCGCCAAGGCGAGGCAGATGGACGGCAGCAGAACTTCGACCCACGGCACTGGCCAAGCAGCTTAAACACACTGATCTGCGGCGACATCAACGGCCACTCGCCCCAGTGGGACGCCAGCTGTGACGAGGAAGACGCCGTCGGGCGGCTAGTGGCGGACTGGATGCTGGACTGGAGCTTTATGCCGGCCAACACAGGCGAAGCCACTCGGTACGCACACGACGGCCACGGTACGGCCCCGGATGTAACGCTGCACCGCACCGCAGACATGAGGAAGGTCCAGTGGCGCATCGGCGAAGATCTCGGCTCCGACCACATGCCGATCATCATCGACTACCGAGTTGCCAAAGGCACCCCACTAACGCAGAGACGCACCTTCTGGAACACTCGGAAGGCCGACTGGAACGCCTACCGCAGGCCTCATTGACGACCGATTGGCGACGTGGTCGTGCAGAGAGGAACAGCTGGCCGCAAAAAATGTAGAATTCGTAAAAGCAGTCATCAACGCGGCAGAAGCGAGCATACCAAAGGGCAGCCGAAAGGACTACAGGCCTTTCTGGACGACTGAACTCGAAGCCGCAGTGCGCGAACGCAACCGAGCGCGACGTCATGCGCCGGAAGAGTACACTGCTGCTGCCCAACGAGTGCGGGCGCTAATGGCAGAAGCGAAGCGCAAACACTGGGAAGACTTCGCGTCCTCACTCAACGCACACACCGACGACAACAAGACGTGGCGCGTATTGAAGGCGCTAGATGGTCGAGCAGGGCAGCCTAGGTCGGGAGCTGCCATTAGACGGAATGGCCGAACGGTGACTACGCCAAAGGGCAAAGCGAACGCATTTGCCACAGAATACGCCGCAGTTAGCCGGATGCACCACAATGGCGAGGACCGCAAGTTCCACAACGCCACCATGGACCAGATGCGCGCCGAATGCCACTGCCACCACTGCCAGGACTTCACGGCGGATGAGCTGACGACGGCACTCAAGGAGCTCCAACCCAGGAAAGCGCCTGGCGAAGACGGCGTCACAAACGACATGCTCAAGCAACTGCCGGAAAGCGGCCGTGATGCGCTTCTGGACCTCGCCAACGCATCCTGGAGGAGCAAACGCTGCCCTGGAGAGTGGACAAGCGCCCTGATAGTCCCTATTCCGAAGGCCGGGAAGGACGCCAGCGACGTGCAATCGTATCGCCCAATAAGCCTGACTAGCTGCGTAGCGAAAACGGTCGAGCGGATGATCAAGAACCGGATGACCGACTAGCTCGAACGCCATAACAAGCTGATCGGCGCCCAATCAGGGTTAAGAAAGATGCGGAGCACCGAAGACCAGCTGCTCTACCTCACCCAGTCGGTCAAAGACGGCTTCAACAAGAAGCCGGCGAAGCGCACTCTTCTGACGCTAGTCGACTTCTCAAGGGCGTTCGACCGTGTCTGGAGGACGGGGCTGTACAGCAAGATGATCGCGATGGGTATGCCGACATGCATCGTCCAATGGGTCCACGGCTTCCTGAGCGATCGCCGAGCACGAGTCCGGATTGACGAGACGAATAGCCGCTCCTTCCCGCTAAAGGCCGGAACTCCGCAAGGCAGTGTCCTGTCACCGCTACTTCCTGGTATTCGTCAACGACATCCTAGACGATATGCCCGAAGGCGTCGAAGCCAGCCTCTACGCGGATGACCTCGCATTATGGGCTCAAGTAGTTGACCTGGCGGACATCAAGGCACGCATGCAGACGGCTCTAGACAAGCTAGCGACCTGGGCCGAGTGCTGGAAGATGCAAATCAACGTCGACAAGACGGTCGTCACGTTCTTCACGACTGAGGCCAGTCAATCACGGTGGAGGCCAGAACTCACGGTTAACGGCCAACAACTACCATACGACGCTGCGCCGACTTTCCTTGGCGTAACTCTCGACTGGTCGCTGAGGTTCACGGCGCACGCAAAGAAGGTCCGCTCCAAGATGACCAAACGTCTCAACTTCTTATCCGCGTTGCGAGGAACGAAGTGGGGATGCAGCCGCCGGATCATGCGGAATCTCTATAACGCCTACGTCCGATCAGTGGCCGACTACGGAGGAGCGGCGTGGATGCCAGCGGCAAATAAGACGGCACTAGACCAGGTGGACGCAGCGAACCGCAGAGCGGCCAGAATCATCACGGGATGCCTTCGGTCCTCACCGACCGAACTACTCCTCGAGGAGGCTGATCTGATGCCCACAGAACACCGACGGGATCAACTCTGCAGTATCGCATTCGAAAAGGCTCTCCGCCTTCCCGAAGACAATCCTCGGCACCGATGCGCCACTCAAGTACAACGCCAGCGGTTACCGACGCAGTCCTCCTTCAGAGAGCATGCCAAAGCCCTTGGAAATGGAGAGAGACTCGGCGACCTGCCGCGCGAGCCCCTTCGACTAGTGCCCCTCGTACCGCCGTGGAAGCTGATGCCGAACGTCACGCTGAGTGCAGATCTGCTACGCACCACACGCAAAGCAGACGACCCATTACTGAGAAGGCTCACGGCTGGGGACACGCTGCGCCACTACCCCCCGCGGACGTCGAAATCTGGACGGATGGAGCCGCCCAAAGAGGGCACACAAACGGCGGGTACGGCTTCATTGCTATAGCGGACGCAGAAGTGCTACACGAAGGAAGCGGACCAGCTGGTGGACTATGCTCAAGCTATCGAGCCGAACTCCTTGCACTGAGAGCAGCTCTCCGTTGGCTGGAGCAAGCAGGACGGCAAGATAGAGAAGTCAGAATCTGCACGGACTCACATTCAATGGTCCAAGCGCTTCAGATGGGACCTCGCAGCACTTCGGACGGCGTCACCGCCGAGATCTGGCAGCTCATAGAGCATTTATTCCCTGCTGACAGAGCTCACCTCACCATCCAGTGGATCCCTGGACACTGCGGACTGGAAGGAAATGAAGCGGCAGACGGGCTAGCAGGAGGTGCATCGAATGTCATCGGCCAACAGCACGTCCCAGTCGACTTCAGCAGTGCGAAAGCCGCGGTGAAGCGTCGCACGAGAAAACGGTGGAAGCAGTCCATCTCGCACGTCTACTATGGACACAAGAGGCAAGCCAGTAAAACGGCAAAGACGGAACTCTCAGTCGCCGAGGAACGCATCCTGAGCCAGTTCCGATGCAATGGCCACTGCCCTCTGCTTCAAACGTACAAAGCTCGAATCGGTGTGGACCCAAGCGCAGTTTGCCCGAGCTGCAGGACGGAGGATGAAACGGCAGAACACTGCCTCCTCAGATGCCCTGCGACGGAACATGCGCGGACCCAGCTCCTCGGTCATCAGCCCACGCTCTCAATCCTGTGGGAGGACCCCCAGAAACTGATCGAATTTCTTCGGAGTATTGGCCGCCTCGGTGGTCATCGTCAACGCCTTTGACAGCAACGACGACCAGAACGACAAAAAAAAAGAAATCGTCCATTAGCCACTTGGAGGCACTTTGGCCTGCCAGCATTCTCTGGCGGACTTACTGGTTCCAAGCAACTACATATTCTTATTGATCCGGCATTTCATTTTCGTAGCGTGTACATGATAGCGCCGACGCAATTATTGCTTCAAACTGAGTTTTGATTTTGGCAACCGTTTTCAGTCAGGAAGCGCGCGCGAAGGTGAATGCTAACAGGCAATCGTAGTCGACATTTTTTGTAGGCATATCTGCGCTGTTTCACAATGGTGCTTTTTGCTGTTAACTGCTGGTTGAAGCATACCATAAAGTAACCCAGCTTATGTAATACTGGACAAAAACTATCGCCTGTGGCCTGAAAAAAAAACAAACGGAATTTATTCCGAACCAGGTGCGCTTTTTATCGGCCAGTGACAATAACCTTTCCGAGATCTTTTGTGTTTCGGTGACTGCCAGATGAAAGCCTTTCATTTCCAAGCACAGTTGAACCGATAGTACCTATAGTTACGGCAGTAGAGTACGACACGGCCCTATCCACCTGGACGGTTGCCTACCGTTAAGTACACCGCAATTTTGACAAAAGAAATATTCCGCTGCTGGATAGCCTAGACCTTACATTCCGTACTACGACGGAGTACGGTACGGCTAAGGGTCAGTACGGGTTGCCGTACCGTACCGTACTAGCACAGTACCCCCAGTACGGCGCCGTATTCCGTACCGTACTGCAGGCCAAAAAAATGCCTATTTTCAACAGAAATCGAGCAAATTATGGGCATTTTTGACAAAAATACGAAAAATTTCGCCGAGAATGACGGGTATGCAGTCGTATCTATCACCATTTATATCTTCCGTTTTGGAACATATAAACATAGGACATATAACATGTCCTAATGTTCTGTTTTACCCGCAAGAAAAGGCCGAAAATTTCAAATTTTTTTATTGCCGTACTACGGCGCCGTACTCCGTACCGTACCGTACCGTACTACGCCGTACTGGTACGGTACGGGGGGGGGGGGGGTCGAGTACGGTACGGAGTACGGTACGGGGGAGCGCTGCAGACTTGTTTGAGAAACTAACGTTCCCTCGTTTTGTGGTAATGTGCATTTGCGAATAAGCAGTGACGTGGTAAGTGGCCCAACGACGTGCACTATTTTTCCTGTTGGGCACGCGAGCGGAAGAACGCCTCTGTGTTTACCTATGAATCTTTTGGTACATTTTGTCTGCGCATAGCACAGGGTTACCTCTGTGCTGAATGCAGACGAGATGACGCTCGAGCCACGGTGCATTATGTCCAGGTTTTTTTCTGTACGTTTGTATTCGCATAACGGTTGCGAAGGAAAATGTAAATGAGCTACCGGTGTCTAAATACCGTGCAAGTTTTGCTGTACTACCCTGTGGCTAACGTCATATTTACAAATGGCGGCGTGACAGTTTACCGGATCCAGCGTTCTGTCCACTACGAGGCTTACCCATCGTTGCCGAATTGAAACGCAAAATAATTGCTCTTTGAAGTTGGAACCTGCACACAAAGGACCATCGGTAGGTTTTACCTATATCGGCAATCCGAAGGCGAAGTAAACGCCCAATCAAAAAGTGTGCTGCAGCGTGCCAGGATTTGCAATGTCATTGTCGAACGCGCGATTTGTGTGGATCCGTGGCAGCACGGCGGCATAGTCGTAAACAAGAGCAAGTGGTTTTCAACGAATACACCGCTGGCCATAATTTTATGACCACCGGTGAAAATGAACATTTTCCGTATTTCGTGTGGCTATAGCCGTATCCTCCAGATCTTTTTAGCCTGTTATTACTTACAATAACAGAGTATTTAACCATGGAACCAAGCATAGAGCCGGCACTCCTTGAAATCAATTTAGTGGTGGTCATAAAATTATGGCCAACTAAATTTTTTGCGGATTTCAGGGGCTGTCTAGGCACGAAGAGTGACGAACACAGCCCCTTCTTTTGCTGACAATAGAGGACATCCTAGGGCTACAACTGTTGTACTGGGTGCAACTTGCTAGCATGACGTGGAAAGTGACTAGCCCGGACAGTCGGCCAAAGTCGGGAAAATAGTGATTTTCAGTGCAAATTATGGTAGCTCATCAATGAAGTGGCGCGAAATTTTTTGTCATCTTAGCAACTTCCTAGCCACAACATACAACTTGTTCCCCTGAGTGTTCTCTGTGACCCCAGCAAATGAGGAGTCATTACACGTTTTCCATTTTTAAAATTTCTTTTTCGACTTAACCTTGCCTTTTCTCCGAAATTTTCGAAGTTTTGTTTTCGCTACAAAAATGGGTTTTTGGGACGCATCTCATCTGTGCTTTATGGGTAAGAAGTTTTTCCAGTGCGCCTAGTACAGACCTTGTTTTTATCATTCAAGAACAACGACGCATGCGTCCGGTTGGGTGCATTTGCAAAGAGTGCAAGTAACTGAAAAATCTTACAAGCAACTTGAAATGAAACTCTGTCCGAGTTTCATAAAATTTTGGCACTTTTGGTCCAGGCTTTCTTTTTTACCTATTGCATGCACAACATTGTCCGCCTTAGGTCTCGGAGAAAACTATTTTACAGCTTTTTGAACAACTTCATGGGCCTAACTTTTCACATGTCTTCAATGATTTTAAATGCAAAAGCTAACTACAATGTTTCTGTGGCGCTTTGCTCTGCATTTTGATTCTTCCTTCGTTGATTGGCGTATCTAACAATGCACTTTTTACGGCTAGGCTACCGAACTAGCGTAGCGTTACCTGGCAAATGAACTAGAACTTTTTGTCGGGATGAAAATAGTTATAATCCGAAGGAATCCTATACGTGTACTCGATCAGGTTTTTCTGTAATTGACCTATGTAACTGTGTAACGGTGCCGCAATTACCTCAATACACCTGCTAGATCGACCAGGAACGCAACGGATCGAAAATGCTAAAATATGGCGTCGGCGGGGCATTTAGAATGTGACTTCGTTGATTGTTTTACGCCTACGGATCAGCAATTGTACATGCTTAGACAGGAGTTGAAAAGCAGTCCGAGTTAGATTTTACATTGGATGATGCCCACCTATATAATGCAGCATTAATTTTCGGTTTCTTGCACTTTTTGTTTACGGCTTGCGCTTATCGAATTTCATTTTTCGCAAGACGGGAGAACGCCAAAATGGAAAACAGGGTAGTAACTTTTTCGACAGAGCAGAGGAATGTACCTGACTTGGGTTGCTTGCCATGTTTTAGATTGTTAGAGAATGGTTCGCCCTCTTCAAGTCCTGTTTGTGTGGATACTCCATTTCGGAAGCCTGTTGGATATGTGACCCATTCCCCGTCACCTCTACCCGTCACCTCTACCCGTCACCTCTACCCGTCACCATTTCCCGTCACCATTCCCGTCACCATTTCCCGTCACCATTCCCGTCACCACTTCCTCCATGGTCTCTGCGACACTTCGCCAACATTCGTGCTATTGTCCCGCACTACTTAAGCCCACGATTCCCTTCCACGTAGCACTCAGTTCATTCCGCACTCTATTCCTACTCCGTGCACTTCAGTCCGCACTCATTCCATTCCAGTGCAATCCTACTGCCTTCGTGTGGCCCAGTTCTGCCACTCAGTACAATACTATCCCGTCCATAATTTTGGGACATTCCATTACTCCTACTACGATTTATACTTGTTGTGTTAGCTTAGTAAACACCTTTTACTACAAACCACGTTTCCCCAGAAAATAGGCTAGCTAATACACAACAATTGGCGATCAGGGACAATTCGGACTTACGCAACCTTGACATTCGTGCACCATTCCTGAGGGAGTACTTGCCGAATAAGATTGCACAAGCAACCTGGTTAATTCCGTATCAGGCTCTGCTAAGTCACCGGTATCTGCTCATACGCAGGTCCAATTTAGCGTCTTTCGAGTGCACGTGCACCGAGAACGACGACGCCCGATCGATATCGCACGCACGCACAGGCGTACGCGAGCGGTCCGCGCACGCAAGCGATTTCCAACAAGTCGCAAGTGCTAATTCGCAACTACGACGTTGCAATACGACTACAGATTTGCCAAGAATTGGAAGTCCATCGGTCAGTATATTCTGAGCTGAGGTGCAATGGCTATCTCCGCAGAACAGCTCGAAACAATTGTTGCCAGGCTCATGCAAGCCCAACAAAATGGCAATGCGACAAGCAATGAGTCGACAATCGCGTCACTCAACTCGCGTCTTCCGGTGTTTTCCTACGACCCGGACCGAGACGATACATTCTCCGCCTACTACGGCAGGTACGGAAAGATTATCGCCGAAGATGGTGGTAAACTTACCGATGGGGAGAAAGTCCGGTTGCTTGTTGGCAAGCTCGATAAGGCAGAATACAACCGATTCTCCGACTGCATGAAACCAGATGGTCCCTACGACAAGGACTACGACACCGCAGTCGACCGATTACCGTCACTGTTTGCGCCAGTGCGGTCTGGTTATGAAGCGTTATGAGTTCTTCAGCCTGTCCCGCTCACAGGGAAGCGACCTCATCGAGTTCTCCACGAGACTCAACGCGTCATGCGAACTTGCACGCCCTCCTCTGAAGGCAGGTCAGCTCAAGTGTCTCAGGTTCGTGTCCAACCTGCAGGACTATCCCGACTTGCGCGCCAGACTCATTCAGTTCCTCGAGCAGAAGGAGACTGAGAAGAAAGAACCAACGTTCGATGAGTTCATGGCCGAAGTACGAAAGTACCTCTCGGTAAAGGCAAGTGCGGCTAAGCTTGAGCAATCCGA